ATGTTCTTCTTCTAGGCTCCAGGTTACTCAACATGGGAAGATCCCCCCACCAAACGAGAGGAAACACTTCTGCAGTGTATCCTTAAAAATGGGAAATTCTCCAAATTAAAGGGTTAAAAAAAGAGGAGAAGCTTAAATTTCTACTATAGCATGCCTGACCTTTATATAAGTTAGAGAGTGGAGAAAAATGGCCTGAATTGTTTCTAAATGTAATGGTTTCTAAACTGTAGTGGTTCTCCTGCATTGCAGGCAGATTCTTTACCATCTGAGCCCCCAGCAAAGCCCCTAAATTATAATACCATTCTGCAATTAGATCTTTATTGCTGCAGGATGGGAAAGTGCAGTGAGTCCCTGTTTTCAGGCTTTCCTGGTTCTTTACCAAAACCCTGCCCTATACAGCTCTTGTAATTTAAAATCTGAGAACCAGAAGTCTCTCCTGACATTGGCTCCTAAATATGGTCTTTGGGGGTATTTAATAATTGAGACCAAGCTAGGGAGGAAGAGAGAATCCAACGTGAGAAAAAATGGTCCAGGGCTCATGCACAATGAGCATGGCTGATGCTGTCAGCCATGCCTTGCGGCCCCAGGACAACCCAAGTTGGCCAAGGAAGTCCAACTATCCATCTGGAGGTAAGACCAACATGGGGGAAAGCTTCAAAAGCAGGTCAACTGACTACTGGGTCTGAGATTGCCAGAAAGAGCCCCTGGATCATGCCCAGCCTATAAACAAACAGGTCATTGGAAGAGGGACAGCTGTCAGTTCTTAAGGGGAAGAGGGCTCCCATGCCCCAGATGGCCATGCTGGACGATGGAGGCAGCCTGGGGATTCTGGCGGCTTCCTCCCAATGAGACATCTATCTTCACTGAGGAGCCCCAGTGGCTAGTCCTTGATGTGGTAGTTAAGAAAATGGATTTTAAAATTGATACTGGAAACACTTCCGTTCAGTTCAGTCGCTCAGTCATGTCTGACTCTTTGCGACCCCATGAACCGCAGCACACCAGACTCCCTGTCCATCACCAATTTCCGGATTTACTCAAACTCATGACAGTTGAGTCGGTGATGCCATCCAACCATCTCATCCTCTGTGGTCCCCTTCTCCTCCTGCCCTCAATCTTTCCCAGCATCAGGGTCTTTTCAAATGGGTCAGCTCTTCACATCAAGTGGCCAAAGTATTGGAGTTTCAGCTTCAACATCAGTCCTTCCAATGAACACCCAGAACTGATCTCCTTTAGGATGGACTGGTTGGACCTTCTTGCAGTCCAAGGGACTCTCAAGAGTCTTCTCCAATGCCACAGTTCAAAAGCATCAATTCTTCAGCGCTCAGCTTTCTTTATAGTTCAACTCTTACATCCATACATGACCACTGTAAAATACTAACTCTGTCTTAATTTCTCACTCTGGACCTCTCTCCTCCAAAAGCTGTGCTGTGACTGGTGTCAATGGAATGTCTCACACCCATAATTTCACGGGTCTCCTCTCACTTGCCAATTCAAGCAGTGGTTGATTTCGCGTGTCTTTCTAGTTGTGCCTCCGTATCCTACCTCTCTCCCTGGGAGGGAACTTCTGAGCTCCACTCGGGGCCATACTCTTATTAGGAGGCCTTGAGCAGCCCTTTGTCTTGACTCTGACTAAGACAGACCAGCCAGAAGAGCAAGATTCAATTACTGGCCTCATTCTACAAGCAGTGGACCCTTCAGCATAGGACAAAGGAATCCCTGGAAAGACTATAAATGGCCAACCTGTAAGAATTAGCTTTAGGCCAGAAACTGCTATCCTACCAAGAGACAAGATCCTGTAAATTTGGAAGCAAAAAAAGGTTTACAACCCCTGGTGGATAAATTCCTAAAGCATGGCCTCTTTGTGACCTGCCGGTCCCTATGCACCACTCCTATCCTGCCATTTGTTAAGTCACATGGGGAATATAGGATGGGTCAAGACCTTTGAGCAACATTACAACGTGGTGATCCCTATATACATCCCCTTGTGGCCAATCCTTATATTAACCCAAATCCCTGATGATGCAAAATTGTTTGTTGTACTGTATATCAAGGATGCCTCCCTTTGCTTCCCAGTTCATTCCTTGTCAAAATATCCATTTGCCTTTGAGTGGGCTAATCTTGACTCAGGCCAAATGCAGCAATATACCTGGACAGTATTGCCCTTAGGGGTTTGGGGATAGCCCACACCTGTTAGCCCAGGCCCTAGGAAAGGAGCTGAGGGAAACACACCTAAAAGAAGGTGCTATTCTAAAGAATGTAGAAGATAATATTAATAAGCAGTCCCCCCACGGAGGCCTGAGATCAAAGTACCACTGAAGTCCTTAATTTCCTTGGGACCTATGGTTACATTGCCTCTCAGAAAAAGCCACAAATCTCAAAGCAGCAGGTTAAGTATCTGGGATATATTATAAACCCTGGAAGTAGATAGTTATCTCCAGACAGGAAATAAACTATATTAGGCCTAAGTACCCCAAAGACTAAAAAAACATCTTCACGCCTTTTGGGGCATGGCAGGATTTTGTAGAAATTGGATTCCAGGATTCAGGCTAATGGCTAAGCCCCTATGTGAAGCAAAGTGAAAGTTGCTCAGTCGTGTCCTACTCTTTGCAACCCATGGACTATACAGTCCACAGAATTCTCCAGACCAGAATACTGGAGTGGGCAGCCTTTCCCTTCTCCAGGATATCTTTCCAACCCAGGGATCGAACCCAGGTCTCCCGCATTGCAGGGGGATTCTTTACCAGCTGAGCCACAAAGGGAGCCCCCAAGCCCCTAGTTGAAGCCACAGAACGGCTACTTTGGAATGGGGAACAGGAAAAGGCTTTAATGATACAAAGCAAAGTCTCACCAGAGCCCATGCTGTGGGTCCCCCCAGTTTGAAAAAGCCATTCATCTTCTATGTGGCTGAAAAGCAATGAGTCCTTATACAGAAGCTAGGGACAGTTTCTCATCTTACCAGATACTTTTCCAAGCAACTAGACTCCATGGCCTGAGGTTGGCCTGGCTGTCTCCAGGCAGTAATTATTTTATTGGTGGAAGAAGCTAACAAGATTACCTTGGGACAGGCTTTGGAAGTCCAGATCCCTCATCAGGTACAAGGGATTCTAGAGATAAAAGGTCACCATTGGCTAACCGGGGCTACCTTATCCAGTACCAGGCTTTGCTCCTTGCCTCCTCAGAGCCAACCCTCAAAACCTGCCACACTCTTATCCCTGCTACCTTAATGCCCGCGGAAAGCCCAGAGCTAGCACATTCTTCCCTTGAAACCCTTGACCAGGTCTATGCCTGAGGGTCTGACTGAACAGACCAGGCCGTAGAAAATCATGAGGAAGAATGGTTTACTGGTGGCAATAGCTTTGTTAAAGATGGAGTCAGGAGGGCAGGGTATGCTATTGTGAGCACTCATAGCATCAGAGAAGCAACACCTTTGCTTCCTAACACCTCGGCCCAAAAGGCTGAACTGATGACTCTAGCGTGTCAGTCACTCAGTCATATCCGACTCTTTGCAACTCTGTGGGCTGTAGCCTCTATCCACAGAATTCTTCAGGCAGGAATACTGGAGTAGGTTGCCTTTTCCCTCTCCAGAGGATCTTCCTGACTCAGGGATAGAACCTGGGCCTCCTACATTGCAGGCAGATTCTCTACTGTCTGAGTCATCAGGGGGAAGGAAAGATTGTAAATGTAAACACAAACTCAAAATGTGCCTTCCTTGTCTTACATGCCTACACAGCTACCTGGAAAGAGAGACATCTAAATGCAGGAAACTCCCCTATAAAGTAGGGGGCTGAGATTTTACATCTCATAGAAGCTGTTCACAAACCAAAACAGGGAGCAGTCACCCCTGCCACAGGCTCCAAAAGGGAACTTCTCAAACTTCCTGAAGAAACAACAGGGACATGACTGATTGACTAACACTACACACACACACACACACACACACGCACACACTAATGTGCGACAGGAACCCGAAGACCCACATTCCAATCATCTCTGTGAATCCATCCCTTTCTCCAAATTTCCACAGGATCCAGAGGATCCAGGACAGCCTGAAAATTCCAGGTAGAAGAGTGAGCCAGCACAAGGCCTGAAGGATAAAAAAATTTCTTCGACTCAAGGCTAAGTACCCGTGGCTACTATCTTCTTTCTGCCTCCCAGTACTCCAATCCACTTACAGAGCAATTGATATGCTCTGATATGTGTGTTAGTAGCTTGGTCTTGTCTGACTATGACCTCATGGACTATAGCTCACCAGACTCCTCTGTCCATGGAATTCTCCAGGCAAGAATACTGGAGTGGGTAGCCATTCCCTTCTCCAGGGAATCTTCTGGACCGAGGAATTGAACCCAGGTCTCCTGCATTGCAGGTGGATTCTTTAACCTCTGAGCCACCAGGGAAGCCTTATGCTCTGGTAAATTCAGAGAACTATTGTCTTTTTTGCTCTCACCCCTGCTCTCAGAATTCCCTGAACTTCTCTGCCCATGCTGAGTGATTTAAATATGATCATGACTGAAGCTACCATGAAGCTACTAATTGCCTTAGCTACTCTATGCCTATATCTACAGGATGATCAGACAACTCTCTGGATAGGATTGTGCAAATTCTTGTTTCTTCCACTCAGTTGAGGAAATGCTGAGTTTATTTACTCCAAGCTAAATCCACCATGGGCAATAGTGTTGGGAGGTTTCCAGTTTCTTATAATCTTCCTCTTCTTGGCCATACTGATTTATGTTATATTTCACCTAGAGCTTTGGTGTTATCCATACTGTTGCAAATTGACAACAAAGACCTTTCAGTCCAAGAAGGAGGCCTTTGACCAACAGGTTGAGATCTTCCATTTTAGAAATAAAGAAAGACACTAATTTTTAAACCTGAGATTAACAGAGATATGCTGATCTTGTATAACCAGATACCTACCCTTACTTGAGCTGATAATTACAATGTCTTTTTTTTATATTTAGTCCTTACTTCTCTAACCTAATTATTTCGTTTGTTTTCTCTAGGTTATCATGGGACAGTGATAATGCAGGGACTCCAGCCACCCCCCACAGCAGATCATGTTGAAACAACAAAAGAAGCCACCCTGGGGCCCTTCAATGAGATAGGGCAAGAGTTCCAGGGCCACAACAAGGTAGGGTCTATGAGCCCCTGGTCACTGAAGAAGAACCGTATTTTTTCATCTCCAGTCTTTTGGCATTTTCATTTTCTGCTTCTTTTATCAATTTACCACTAGTGGTCCAATTATCTTCCCCTGTTTCAGTTAATTTCTACCTTTGTTTTTAAATGTAGTTTTCTCTATTGTCAAAGACTTAAAGATTTAGTGTATAATTCAGTTTACTTTAGGTATTACATTTCAATCTTGTATGTAATTTCTAGGCTTACTGAGGTTTCCATCCCCATGTTTTAGATGCTTTTCGATCTGGACTGTTACATTCTCTATCATCTCCTGCCTCTTATTTTATAAGGTCTGTGGAGTTTTCCTTGAACCCCTAGAATAGTGTTCTTTGATGTATGTTCCAATTATCACCCACATCAGAATCTTTTGCTTGCTAAAAAGGAGATATATATATTTCTAGACAACAACACATTTTTACTCTATCAGAATTCCTGGTTTGAGTTGAATTTCTGTCATTTGCAACCAAAAGATTTTTCACTGACATTTTTAGAATATTAAACCTTTTAGGAGCTTTAGCTATCTTACTCATTTAGTCTTCATAAAACCTTATTAGCTCTATTTTATGGTTGAGGACACTGAAGAACTAGCTCAAGATCACATAGCTAGTAATTGTCAGAGCTGGGAATCAAATCAGAGCCTTGTTTATTTGTTTTTCTCCTTTCTAATGTCTCAGGCTGAGTAAATACCTGAGGGGTACTGGAAAGGGCTTGGTGACAAAAACATAATTCTCATTGGCCCTGCCTCAGAGTCTGAAATCCTCAGCATTCTCCAATTCTTTCAGTTCAAGGCAGCTGTTTAAATGCAAATTATATCTGTGAGGGTGTCACATTAATAGCTACTACCAGCTATTAACTCCTAAACACAAATCGGTGTTCTTGTTCTCTAGAGTAGACAAGACTCTTAAAGAATGTAAGGTTTGTAGGAAAATTTGAAACTGAGAGGGAAGGGAATAGGTAAGGCTGGGAGCAGAAGGATGCTGTCACGGTGGGGACCTTGGACAAGTGACAGGCTTCAAGTGCTGGGGGGTGGGCGGCCCATGAGGAGTGAGGGGAGGACTAGGACCTAGACACGGGCTCACAGGGCTTTAGAAGGGATGATAAAAGGCTAGACTACCGGCTTTCCGTTTTTGCATAGAACCATTTCAAATTCTGGCATCCATTTTGATCCTGTTTCAATCTTTATGATGAAACACAGGAAATTACCGCCCAAATGCGTAGTGTGTGTTAAATATGAAGAATTAATCCCAGACTGCCAAACCTAATTCACAGAAGGTCCCAGCATGAGCTCACATTCAATAATCATTAACATCTTTAACCTATTCTTCAATTTCTTTAATGAATAAATGCATCTTATTTCCTTAGAATGTAGGACAATTGGATGGTTCTTCCTCAGTGTTGTATACCCACACAATGTAAAATATGATATTAGAGGGATTAAATCAAGTTAAAAAATTCCCATGTTTCTTTGTTGTCAGAATCATCACTAAAGGAATGATGTCGGAAAGGTACTGCAGAAACAGCTGTAGATTTATAATTTTTCCCATGAGTTCCTCATAGAAGGAGATTTCACAAACCAATAAAGTAATTCCAAGGCTGCATAAATGACTAAATTACTTGTTAAGTTAAAAAATAAGTGACAGAGCTTTCTGTGTCATCATGGCTAAAGTCAGTGCCCAATATATTTGTTAGAAAATGTTCCAGGATTTTTTTAAAAAAGACGGTCATCACTTAGGCTTGGATTAACAATAAAAAGCAAGAGGCTTTCCTGAGGCTCTAGGTGAACAATGGCACTTGAAAATGAAACACTGGCAAATTGCCCATCTCCTGTGGGAAACGGAGGAAGGAGGCGGTAGCATCTTTGTAAGAAATCACACTAGAGAAGGCAGGCTTCTTCCTGGGGCATTAACAACATCTCAACAGGACTCAGAGATTTTTGTCAAGAGCCACAATTTACACAATAATTACACTCATTGGAGCAAACACTGATCCCAAATTGCCTCCTACTTCTCCCCCTCTCCCCAAATGGAATGTTTTGTCCATGTACAGAGTTGTTTTAGAGGATTAGCTTATTCGTGTATTCATCTCGCAAATACTAGCTTTTGTGTGTGTGTTTTATTTTTCCAAGCAATCAATTCATAGTGCAGACACTCTTTTCCCTTCTATTAATGTACTAAAAGGGAAAGGAAAAAAAAAAAAAGGAATACATTTAGGAAGCTCCTGACATATCTAAGCCATGACTCTCTTACAAGCCTGAGGAAAATAGTCATGTTTAAAACTGTGTCTAGGCATGCTAATCATAATTTATTAAGAAACAGAGCCAAAGGTAAAGAAAGTCAACCTGGATTTATGTGGAAACGGCAAAGATGATATCGTGCATTTTACAAGAAAAATGTAGTTGTTCCAGACTATTAATTGCTGGTTTTTCAAGGACAAATGCAAAGCTATCATTTTTCCAGATGAATAGCGTGAGAAAGAGAGGTTGCATTTGCGATGGTGTATGCTCCTATCTTACTGTTATTCACAAAATATTCACCCATGTCTGTTTGCCTTGACAACATGGGAATTCACTGATGATCAGATTCTGCCCTCATGATGCCATGAAAGAGAAGGGTCATTTTAATCCACTGCAGCTTAAACTATTGATGTCCAAGCTCATTATGCATTATTAACTTCGTTATGGTGTTGGGACACCAAAGAGAGACCCTGTTAAGAAGCGGAGAGTGCAAAACAGGATCAGTGGGATATTGTAATCAGGTGGAAGGGCAACCAAAGTGCCTGGGAAAAGACCTCCAGATGGTGATGAAAAAAAGATGACCTCCAGTGGCGAGGCTACACAAACTCCTGGAGGGGAGCCTCTGACCACACGCTGGGAAGGAAGCTTGAAGAAGAAGAAAGAGCAGCCAATCTTTCCTTCTTGGTAGAGATCACGGCAAAAGCCTCCTTGGGGATAAAGCACAAACCTTTTGAGCAAAAGAAGCTTGTTGATTATCTGTGGATTTCCATCAATCCTACACACCCCCACTCCTGACCAGCAAGAATTAATTGTTGCATATATTCAGGAAAATATCCTTGCCTATCAGTCTAGGAGTGTTGGTGCTTCTATATAATACAGCCCAGCTCTGCTCTGTCTTCAAAGCTCTAAAGAAGCAGACCTAATTCACACTCCAGGAATTCTCAATAATAGGCAAAATGAACGTTCTGGTATGAGAAGTCTTTTCACTTCTGCTGGTGGGAAAAACAACAATGAACGATTCATCTATTAACATTTTTTTTTTATCCACTCCATGTTTCTCTTCTCCCAGAGTTGTGAGAATCAAAGAAATTAATATTTGTTTTAATATTTAAAATCCTGTGAAAATGTGAATTATTTTTGTTATCCTCCTGTTACCATTGAAATTCAGGCATGAAGCAATTGATTAAAAAACTACTATGAAATGATGAGGCAACTGCTTAATATTGGATCCTACCACTTTCCTCCAGATTTTTATTCTTATTGACATAATTATGAAATAAGATGATCATTTTTAGAGTGACATTAGTTTGTTCAGTCACTATCCTATCTGCCTCTTTGCAACCTCATTGACTGTGGCATGCCACTTTCCTCTGTCCTCCACTATCTCCTGGAGTTTGATCAGGTTCATGTCCATTGAGCTGGTGATGCTATCTAACCATAACTATCTGGTGCCACTCCTTTCTCCTTTTGCCTTTGATCTTTCTCAGCATCAGGATCTTTTCCAGTGAGTCGGCTCTTTGCATCAGATGGCCAATGTATTGGGAGCTTCAGCCTCAGCAACAGTCCTTCTAATGAATATTCAGGGTTGATTTCCTTTAGGGTTGACTGGTTTGATCTCCTTGTTGTCCAAGGGACTCTCAAGAGTCTTCTCCAACACCACAATTCAAAAGCATCAATTTTTTGGCACCTAGCCTTCTTTATGGTCCAACTCTCACATCTGTACATGACTATTGCAAAAAAACCATAGCCTTGTTTATAGTTTTTTAAAGAGTGATGTTAAGAAGAGTTAATATGTAATAGTCAAAATTATTTGCATTGCCCCATAAAAGAAATAGTAAATAGTGACTTAGGTGATCTATGGACATGATTCCAATATTCTATTTGAAGCTATGTATTAATGTGTTTTTTTTTTTTTTTTAACTAGCTGAAGTTCTAATGTAACTGATCTTATTCAATTACAAATATAAAATAATATGTAAATGTATAAACAAGAATAAACTCAGAAATACATTTCAACAGGAGACACGTTTCAAATGACAAAATCAGAACAATTTAGTAATGCGTTTGAGGTCCTGTATTCAAGGTAAAGCTCTCCATGCATTGGGGGAGGCAACTGCTTTATAAGCAGTGGAGCTCTGTTCCCAAGGTATTTAGGGCAGGAGTTTTCAGTGCATTAGAATCACCAATACTCAATTTGGGCATGATTGGCCAGGAGGTCAGGGATTTCTGTGTAAGATGAGAAGGTCCTATTTTCTAGGCTAAAATAAGCTAGCCAAGGCTGAGTTGGAGGATTGTAATTGATGAATGTTAATGTTCCTTGCCAATGAGGTATTTCCCCTAAGTGTAGCTGACTTATGTTTTGATTGGACTTGGTTGGACCCCTGGGATGTCCTGCATTTTGTGGGCCCCATCTGATGGAAGAAATATCGAGGCATCAAATTTAGAAATCAAGAGCTTAGATAGTAAGAAAGTGACTTGGTAACACGCACAGTGACACACAGAGATGGTCCCTTGATCTGGTAGATCTAACCAGTCATATAATTTGAACTGGGCTGAATGATCACGTTACTTACTCAAAAAAAAAAAGAGAACCAACAACAAAAAAGCCCCAGAATAATGTGATCTAAGTTTCTGCAAAAAGGACTAACCTATGTGATCCGCACCAAGTGCACATCCTGAGCCCTCCAAGAAGAGAGTTAATGAGAGAGGGGTATGCTTGTGTT